TCTCATGATTTTAAACCAATCACGACATAGGACCAGACATGACGTGAAAATAAACTTCTGGGTTTTTTTTCAAAAAATCATTCATATTCACTTCCATTTTGATAACAATGGACACTTCACTAATATTATCCATCTTCACAGATTTAATAATTAATGAATGCCTTATGTTAATCCTTCTCAATTCCTATTCTATTTTAATTTTTATTATGGAACTCAAAAAAACAATTTCGAACATTATTGCAGCAAAGTGGTATGTCGCATGCGACATACCAAAGATTGCTTTCATGTGGAGTCTTGCGGTCTAAATCCAAATTTTTTTTACTTGCCAACCATTTGCACCATTGGTATGATTGTCGGTCCCCTCTCTATTCAGCTAAATGGTTACCAGCCACAAACCATTAGTTTGAGAGTTCAAAGTGCTTCGTAACTTTTAGCCGTTTTTTTTTTTTTTTTCTTCTATTTCCTTCCCTTTTTTTTCAACCCACTTCTAAGCTGAATTTTCCTTACGTCGTTTGCAATATCTATGAGATCCCACACGAGTTCAAGGCAAAAGTCTTTATGCTTCTGAGTTGATCCAAAAATTCGAGCAATACAGTATGCGTTGATGATAGAGGTATCCAGCAACCAGAAAAAAGCAGCATCCAGTTTCTTCGTACCATTTGCTGCATATTGTAATATGAACGAAGCTGGTCTGCAATATCTACACCATTCATGTGATGATTGTAGTCATCGATTATCTTGGAGATTCTTAGTTTTTTTTTTGATTGAAAGCCAAACACTACACGCACTTTTTTTGCATTGGTGCTTGTTTTTCTTGGCCGCCGTCTTTCGTGTTCTATTTCCCATTGTTCACCAACAAGACCGTGAATTGTTGACAACATTGTGACTGGACCATTGTCTTGCCAAAACACAGCCAACACTCTATTTACCATAATGCCGGAGCGTACATCCCAGTCGAGTTGCAAATTGTTTTCCACTTTTAGTTTCTTAGAGAACCCTGATGCTGTTTTTCAAACAGTGCCACAGGCACCAATACCGATTTGCCAAAGGTTTTGAAAAAGAGGAACGTTAGAAAAATAGTTATCCATGTAGATATTAAATGAAAACCGACGATATGGAAGCTGTGTAACAAGATAGTGGACCAGGCAACCAGTTTGGTTGAGCCTACCCACTTTTTCCACATTGCTTGGAGAGACACGTGATGTCAGCAAGAAAGTGAATGTGTATCCAGATTCACAAAGTGACAATACCTTAAATCTTTCTGGGACTGGTTTGTTCTTAATACGAATGGTGTGGATGCTTTTTCCAGAAAACCTTACCATCATTTCATCAACCGAGACGTCTGAGGCTGGTGTATAAAGTTATTTTGAGACATCTCGAATATGGAAAAGTAGTGGCTCTAACTTTTCAAAGTAATGATTAACAGCTACTACAGGCGGAGAGATATGCAGGTACCTCTTGATTTGTTCAAACCGTTTTAACGGTATTTGGTTTGAAATCTGATGTATGGGGAGCTTTGGATCATTATTCCAGTACTGATCAAGTGAAGGCAGCCCAAAAATCCACTGGTAAATAACCAGTGCGATCCAAGTAATAAGGTCCTTGCAGTCTATGTTTTTCCAATCTCTTCCAGCAAGTCCAGCGCCTTTATTTAATACGTATGAATTTGTATTCAAGACGATTTTATCAAGTAAAGTGTTTGTAAAAAAAAGCAAAAAAAGGTTAATCGGTTTTGAAAAACTGACATCATAATTTGGTGGCAAATTGACAAATGCCTGATGCAATTGTTTTGAATGAACCAATGATTCAAAATTTGGAGGTGGTGGCAACTTATGTACACTTTTTAATTGTTTGTAGCTTTTCTTGCTACTATCGTCAGCATCTTCGTCCTCTTCATCGTCTGAACCTGGGTTGTTTAAAAAACGTTGGCGGAATGTCAGAACTGGTATGTATTCTTCTTCCTCTTCATCAGAAAATATCTCAGTACTTTCAGAAGAGGGCAAATTCGAAGACGAACTCACCTTTGTCATAGTTGTAAAAAATTTTTTTTTCGATTTTTGATTTCTTATTGATGGATAATTGCTGTACTACCAATGCTGACTATTTTTTAATTTTTAGCGATGTTAGAAGGCTTTTATATTACATGATTGATACAATCACTCAAAATTGGAAAAGCATTCTGTATTATGTAGTCACTTATAATTTGTGTATACAAAGTTATAAATTCTGAAGCCATTTTACTCATACAGTTTTTGCTGATTCATTTGCCCGAAAAGCATTATACTAACGAATAACTTCTTTTGAAAGAAAAATTGGCCCGTGCTGTGGTTCATTAGGTGGGGTGCCTCGTTATATACCTTGGGTAATTTGTGGTAAAAATCCTGGTCGTAATCGGGGTAAAATATGGTACTTTTGCTGCTGTCTCTACATTTTTCAAAATGTTTTATATCCACTAAATATAAAATACATAGCAACCCACTAGAAAATCATTGTTCTCCCATAATTTTGTTCCCTAATCATGGTTTTAAAACTAGGTTCTTTACTTGGTAAATCGTAAAACTTGCTGTGTATCTTATATAATTTATTCTGTATTCACTTTTTTAATATTTCCGTTTCAATGGCTTTTAATTCGTTTTTTATTGTCGTTCCTGTTCCGTCTAATATTTCCCCTGTTTCTGCTACTGACAAAAGTTTGGCTCTTAATTTTCCCTCCTCGGTTTCTTGTTTTTCTATATCTTTAATCTCGGCTTGTAATCATTTTATATATTCCTCTTGGTTCTCAGTTTTTTTTGGCTTGGCTTTTAATTAAGGAAGATAAATATTCAGAAAATAGTTTGCAACTAGGGTTAAACAAAACAATATTCGTACGTACAGTACTACTAACACGTGATTTGAAATCACAAGACGATCTGCAAAATCACATACTTTAATTCTAATTTAGAAAAGGGAGTATAATTGGTTAGTAAAGTCAGGTGTAATTGCGCAAAGTTGAAAAAAAAAAATTTTAGCAGGCAAATTTGCTCGCTAGACGGTTTAAGGGATAGTGGTCCTAACTAAACGGGGTTGTACTGTTCAACCTGTTTGATAACCCGACCCCATTTAACCAGTACACGACCCGGGTTAATTAGGTATATGCAATTACGTAAATAAAAATAATCTATTGACGTAAATAAATTAAAAATAAACTATCGCTACGTAATATTACAATCAATAAAAAAATAAAATTAAAGAGAAAGAAATTAAAAAAAAGAAATTGTCTTTATTTATCGTTATATTACCGTGAGATTATACTTCTAAAAATGTCAAATGAACTTTCTCAATTAGAACTTGACCTTACTTCTACCGAAACCGATCTCCAACCATTAATATCCAGCACATCCAGTAGCTCGTCATTCTCTAAAAAATGAAAAGTTCGTAGTAAGCTATTTTCAGAGCATCTCTTTTCAGAAACAGATCTTCCTCCTGAGCATCCTAATGCAAAAACCCATCGAGAAGTAATGTGTCTTACTTGTCCAAATGGAGAAAAAACCTGGCTTCGAAAAATTGGAGATTTTAATACATCAAATTTGTGGCGGCATCTTGAAAGTCATCATCCTGATAAAGATTTACGACGACAAGATATATTAGAAGAATTTATGAATTAGGGTAACTCTTTGCCTAAATTTTCACAAGCAACCTTTCGTAAATTTCTTGCACAATGGGTGATTTCTGATAGTCAACCATTTATGACTTTAGAAAATATACATTTTTGTCACTTAGTAAAATTGTTAAATCCACATGTTTTAGTTCCTAGAGGGGATACAATAAGAACTGATATAATTAAAAGCTTTGAAGAGAAACGTAGAAAACTCATAATCTTATTTCAAAATATTCCTGGAAAAATTTCATTTGTGATAGATGTATGGACATCGCCAAATGCATATTCATTTCTAGCAACTACAGCACACTGGATCACTAACAATTGGGAACTCAAAAATATTTTGATTGATTTTATTGATCTTATGGGTCCCCATT